AGCAACTTTTTGCAAAACATATTACTCAATGCAAGACTCAATTCATTTAAAGGAATCAAAAGCACTTTTAGTTAAAGGGCTTATCATACGTGTAAAATGGATAGTGGATAGTAGTGATGTTCGGGTATCCCGATCCCGACTCGGGAAAATTTCCCGAGTTGTTTACTATCATCCTTACATAGATAGATGGAGAGAGAGACTATCCACTATCCATTTTACACGTATGATAAGCCCTTTAACTAAAAGTGCTTTTGATTCCTTTAAATGAAATAGCGCAAGCGCAACATAGGTGAGCGCAATGCATTTTGCGTCGCTTTTTGGTCTTGCATTGAGTAATATGTTTTGCGGAAGGTTACTAGAAGTAATACAAAAACTAAAAAATACCCTAATCTTCAATTTCATTCTTCTACTAAGCATACACAGAACAACGTTAACAACAAATTTAATTATGTGAATAAAAAACCATAAAATTTGGGTTTTAATTCACACAGGTTGTGAGGCCAGAAATTCTCAATATTTTAAACAAAATATTTTAAATAGTTAAAAATCTGCAGTTTTTAAACTTTAGCAACTTTTATATTTCACAACTTTGAATTTAATTGCCAAACAGAGCTGTTTCGAAATTTCGATTTTAGAGGTCTTTCTTTATCTCTCTTTCTTACATGGATGGGGAGAGGATGAATTGTCAGGGCATTTAAGGGAAAAGAAATAGCGTGATGGATTATTATATTTAAAAAGGGGAGGGATAAATATTTTTTTATTTAAATGCCGCAATGCCTTTAGAAAAATTTATTTTAAACAATTTAAATTTATTTATTAAAATTTATTATTTTAATTTAAAAAATTATTTTAGAGAAAATGTATTTAAAATTAATTTTAAACATTTTCCTCTTGCTAATTTTGATAAACATTTCCATTGGGATAAAATGTAAATGCCCTGAAAATGGAAAGAAAAATTCTCGAGTTAAGAGAGGAGGTTTTTGTGATTGTTTGGGGGTTGGGAAAAAACAATCTAATTCTGAAAGTTCTGAAGACGAAATAGAAGAAGGTTCTCCAGGTCATCACGTAACAGGTCATATTGAAGGTAGTCAACATGGTCATGTAAGCACAAGTTATGGAGGAGGAACTTTTAAAGGCGAAAGTTCAACGGGAGGAGGTTATGTTAATGGAAAAAGGAAAGTTTTGTATATTTGCGACAACACGTTTTATTCGCATATACAATTTAATGTAATTTTAATATTTTTTAAAAATAAAATTAATTTTTATTTAAAATTAAAATAGGTAATTATTCTCTAATATACCTAATTTAAATCAGTTATTTATAATTAAAAAAATTTTCTAGGAAGTTTTGGCCAACATTTTGTCAAAAAACTATAATGTTGTAAGTACATAATTTTAAAATTATTATTGAAATCGTTATAATTATCTCCAGTTTTCCGGATATTCAGACCCGCCAATTCTAATAGTTATAGAAGTGGGTAATAGTTTGGAATTCGCCCCCTTTTTTCATCGTTTCCCTTACCATTTTGAGATTTTTTTTGATACATAATTTATCATATATCATTCGAAAGAGCTCTTCGAGCTTGGTCTAATGATACCATGATTGGCTAGATCTGATAATTTTTACCAAAATTATGAAGCTAAATCCTTATTAGCAAACTTTTTGTGCCAATGCAAATGGATAAAATAAACGGTCACAGCTTCACAGCTTTGTTCGCTTAAGTCAGATTTCGTTGATTTTCGACTTAGCTTGAAGAGCTCTTTCAAATGATATATAATTTGCCATAAAATGAGAAGAAATAAGGAAAAAATAGAAAGGAAAAGGGGGGGGCGAATTCCAAACTATTACCTAGAAGTGTAACATATGTTCTGTCATAGTGTGATGGGGAGAAGTGTTTTATTCAGCAATATTTAGGATGTAAAAAGCAAAAATCCTCCCTAACTTTTACATTCAAATTCAGGATATGCTTGTTTACACTGATAAAGAAAAAAAGAAAATGCCGGAAGGGAATTTTAATATGATTAAAATACCCGTAGATAAAAGACATTATGATAAAAAAGAGCCGAAAGGGAAAAGACTGTTCAAACATAGAATTATTCTAGAATATGGATATTTTGGAATTTATGAAGGTATTTTATGCTAAAATTTAAATAATTAAACACGCAGAGGAAGTAATGATAGTGTTTATTTTGTGAAAGGTTTACTCATATTCACAATTTTAGGCTCCAATCAGAAATGAGCTTTAAAAAATTATAATACCGTATTTTCTCTAAAATATCCCCCGGGGGTTTTTTTTTCGATCGACCTCTTGAGAGGGGCTATTTTAGAAGTGGGGGGGGGGGGGTTATTTTAGAGGGAGGGGTTATTTTTTTCGATACCTAAATTTTTTGAAAATTAAAATTTTTTACAAAATTTTGAATAATATTTTTCTAAAATTAATAGAATTCATCACATACCAAAAGTCTCCTAACGAAAATTTCCTAGCCCAAAAACTTCCAACAAGTACCCCTCAGTCGATTGATTTATCCTAAACTTCATTACATATATTAATCTTCCACTTTTTATTTTAAATTTTCATCCAAATCCTAGAAAGTTGTATTAAAGTTTTAATCATTCCCAAGAGTTTAACGAGAAGCAACATATCAAAACACAAATTACCTTAATTTAATTTTTCCATAGAAATAATCAAAAACGTTGAAATTAACATTCCCAACGTTGGAAAAGGACATATTTTTGATTGGCTTAAACAGCAAAATTATTTTTTTGGAATTGCTGAATTTGAAGTAATGCCTGCATCTTTTGCTGTCTTTGAAGCTTTGGGAATTGAAAAAACTTTTGATGTAATGAATACTTCGTTATATACAAGATTTGTTCAATTTTACTTTGATGGTCATAATGAAGAGGATGCAGAAAATTTTTACAAATATGTTCCCGGTTAATTATTTTTAAGAGAAAATAATTCATAATTATATGTAATAGTCTTACTCTAGCTCGTTCAGACTCTTAATCATTCCATAGAAAACAAATTTCACTTTTAAAATATTTTTATTATTTTTCCTGTAAAATAATAAAATTAATTAAAGAGAATGATTCTGCCAGACCCGGAGATTGGAATCCTGAAAATGGAATTCTTACAAATGAAGATAGAATGAAAGAAAATGAAAAGGATCATGAATACGCAAATAATAAATTGCTAGAAGATTTTGAAAAGGGGGATGGATTTTATAAGGGCATTTACAGTAAACCTTCAACTCTCAAAGATTTATATAAAAAAGTTAATTTTCATTTTGTAAATCAACATCCAAAAGGAAGATTCCAATATTTTCCAAATTTTGATAATGTTATGTATATTGGAGGAATTGTTATTGAACAACAGGGAATTTTGACACAAAACAAAATTGAGATAGATGATGTAATATTTTATATTATTTACAGAATATCACTCCCTTATAACGTTACTTTAAATAAAACGTTGAGTATTTAAAAAAACTTTATAACAGAAGTTGAAAAATCCCCTTAGGTGTTTAATTAGGGAGCAAAAATGGCCCGCCTCGGACCGAAGGATCGAGTCGGGCCTAAGATATTTGGCCTGAAAAAGACTCGTACGGCCCGCTCAACATTAGGCCCGCTCAACATTACTAATAAATATCCACGGGCGCTGAAAATGGAATGAATCTAAGTCAGTTGCCTTCCAAAAATCTCAAAATTGCGCTGAATATGGATAAATCTGCTCCTTAACCTGCCAAATTTATAAAATTGAGACTTAATGAAGGAGAGAGTTTATGAGAAATTATGATGAATTTAGAGCATCAACAAAAATAACGAGAATTATCACTTCAAATACCATCAATTCCTCTAAACCCCATCATATCAACTTAATACTCTGATAACCCTTCAAATCCCCTCAATCCTCTGAACCTCATTATATCAACTTAATCCATCATCTACGATTCTGATCCCCTTAATCCTATTATCCCCTTTATTAACTCTTAATCTACCGATATCACACCTCAATCTCCAATATATACACAAATCCTCTTAATCGTTACAAATCCACATGATTCGTAACGATTAAGAGAATTTGTTTCTTAATTACCAGATATCTCTTCAGCCCTTCCTTTACCCTCCAGATATCCCTAATAATTCTCCGATACCTTCCAAATCCACCAATGATTTTGAATAAATATTTTAAAAACGACTCGAAAATGTCTCGATGCCCGACACAATAAAGTTAGGCTCGAAAGTGACTCGTACATGCCCGACTAATATAAACAAGCGCAGAAAATGCCCCGACCGTCTGCCCGACTCGAATACAGCAACCCTATTTTTAATGACAGTTTTAAATGAAAATTTTAATTAAAAAGATAAAATACGTATTTATTTTTAAGCCCGAATGTATTGTTTATGTTGCATTCGGGACAGTCTTCGAAGATGGTGGACTTAAAGATCATCTTTTGGAAATGTTAGAAGAATTTAAAAAATATGGCAATTGTTTATTCAAAGTTAGAATTGGAAAAAATGAGATAACAAAAACATATAAAGCAGATAATATAGAATTTTTGGAAGGATTAGCCCCACAGCAAGAAATATTAGGTATTGTTGGAAAATAAATTTTTAATTTTTAAAGATTTTTTTCATTTGATTTTTCTGAAATCTTTTTAAATTTCGGCTCGGTAACTGAATAGAAAAACCAGTATCGTTACTAGAGATCGGAATTTTTGAAAAGCCTGGGCCTGTTCCTGGGTTCTGGTGTTGATTTATTGTCCTGTGCCGGATCCTGGGCCTTTAGTCCAGGAAAACCCCAGGAAAGTCAAAAAATGCCTGGGCCTGGACTCTGGGTACAGGAAAAACCCAGGCCTTGGTCCAGATCGTTACTTCAAATTTATTATATTTTTAGCTCAATCAAATACAAAATTATTCATTTCCCATTGTGGAATGAACAGTTTTAATGAGGTAATTTTTAAATTTAAAAGTGAAAAAAATATTAATTTTAAAGGCAATGTATGCAGGTGTTCCCCTTCTTTGTATTCCAAAATTTGCCGATATGTTTCACCTTTCTTCCATAGCTGAATATTTGGGTATCGGTAAATTTGTTTGGGCGTCTAGGAAAGTGAAAAAGTGGGCGTGGTGGTGGCGTCGGTGGTGGTCAAGAAAAGGGAAATTGGTCAAGAAAGCGATTAAAAATCCAAATTTTATAAATGATTTTTCTGAGGCTTTGGAAGAAATGATAAGCGGAGAGTAAGACATAAATTTATAAAAAAACATTTAATTTTATAAAAAATTTTTTCAATTATTCCTTTTGCAAGGGAATAAATATCCTTTTGTTTACATTTATTTGGATAGCCAACCGATCCTCAAAAATTGAAATTACATATGTGTATGTATTTTTGTCATGAATTCACTATTCCTAAATCTGGAACTTATTTTTTATGCCTGCTAGATTCTTTGTTTATACCCCCGTGGGGCAGAATCTTGGGGGTGTTCTATCTCGTTCTCGGTGCTTTACAATTCTCGCGTTTTTGTTTAGCTCTTGACCTACATAAGTATTTGGTATTATATCCATTGACCTCCAAGACGGCGGATTTTAGATATTTTAATATTAAACAAAATTTAATTTTTAAACTCTTTCCTTTTAGAGAAGGAAAAAAATATCTGAAAAAAGCAACTGAAATGAGAAATGAAATTTTATCTGAAGGGCCATTTAGTAATGTGTTTCTTAATAAGATTATTGGAATTGCTGAAAGTAATGTTGGAGGAGAAATTCAAGATTGAGGAGAAGGTGTTGGCGATGTTTTGAAAGATAAAACTATGAAAGATTTAAAAAACTGATGATAAGTAAAGCAAAAAAAATTTAATTATTTTTTAAAAAACTAAAAAGAACATGACTACAAACACTATGTATTATAAAACACAATTTAAAATACAAAAAAAATTGAAAAATATACAAAAATACAAAAAAATTATTCGTAAATTTATATTTTGATAGAAAATTTTTTTAATTTAGTTTTATAAATTAAAAAAATTTAAAATTAGTAGAGACATCCAAAACCGAAAATTTTACAAAATTCAAAAAGTGAGACTGCACCCAAGTGGGACAACGAAAGACATTAAAACTCAAGACCAAGATTCTCTAGGGCAAGACAAAATTTTAGGTCCCACAGGGAGAGGATTTGCTCTATTACGCAATATACGTCCAATCACACTTTATGGGGAGGATTTACATATAACCTTACATTTTATTCCAATATTATAAAGTTCTAGCGACTCACAAAAATGTTACACGCCTAGGGTATATGTTCTAAAAACCCCATAACTGTCGGACTCAAGAAAAAGACTCTACTTTGGGACCAATACCGAAAAAACATAAGAAAAACCTCAGTCCCAAGATAAAGTCTTGTACGTCTCTACAAATTTTTATTAAATTTCTTATTTTTAATCTAAATTTATTCACATTATCTATTTTAAATTCCTAAGGAATTATTTTCATTTAAACATTATTATTTATTTAAAATTTTTTCAAAAATTTATTTAAATTTTGGGGATTTTATTAAACAACACTGTTATTTAAATGTAATTTTCATTATTTTTTGCTTGATAAACATTATTTTTGGGATTTTTTAGAATTATTTTAACTGTTTGACATAATTGCTTTAGATTAATGCCTCTCTGGAGGAGGTAATTTTTAGGGAAGGGATAATTGTTTTAGAGAGGTTATTTATTTCAACACTTACTTTTACTTCATTCTGAAAAAAGGGATATAGAGAGAAGGGAAATTGAGTGATTAATCTCCAAAGTTCCCGATATCCCTGTTAAGATGAATGTGGAATTGGGGAGATTAAGAAGATCCCATTTAATATTTTTATAAATTATCACTAAAAATATGAGATAAGTAACGGAAGTCTCCCCGACTTCAACCACGAATTTTCTTTACCTGATTTCAAAGATAATTGAATCCAAAATATTCCTAAAGTTCATAGGAAGCAAGTTAGTCATATCTTCAATTATTTTAACTTAAAAACTTAAAAATTTATTTAAATTTAATTGTTTTAAAAATTAAAACAATCAATATTTTATTTGATTTAAATTTTTTAGAGTTTGTATTTTGTAATTTAAATTAAAGCTGACTCTCTCCATCCATGTAAGAGAGAGATAAAGAAAGACCTCTAAAATCGAAATTTCGAAACAGCTCTGTTTGGCAATTGAATTCAGAGTTGTGAAATAAAAAAGTTGCTAAAGTTTAAAATTTGCGGATTTTTAACTATTTAAAATATTTTGTTTGAAGTATTGAGAATTTTTAGCCTCTCAACCTGTGTGAATTAAACCCCAAATTTTATGGTTTTCTATTCCCATAACTAAATTTGTTGTAAACATTCTTTTCTAAATTTATTTTTTTTAATTAAAAAATAAATTTAATAAATAAATTTAAATTGTTTAAAATTAATTTCTCTATCGGCATTATTGACTTTAAAATTAATTTTTTTCTCTATCCACTACCCCTTTTACACGTACATATAATAAAGCTCCCTCTTTATAAGCCCTTAATGCCCAAACACGCTTTTATTAGCCCTTAAATGCCAAAACGCGCGCAGATCAGGAGTGAGCGCAATGAATTTTTGCGTTTATTTTTGGCTTGCGTTGAGTTTTGCGTCTGCGGACATAAAAGAAAAATTCAACTCAGAAAAGTTTGGGAAATCAAAACAATTTTTGGCACCGCAAACGAGATTTTGATATTTTCAATTTCTCTTCAATTTCGTCGTCAGAACCTTCTCCAGAATTGTTTGTCTTTCCTCAAAATCCAAACAATCTCATTATTCTAAAAATGTGGTATCTACTACTAAATATTAGTAGATTAGGTTATGTATATGCCACACATTTTCAATTATTCTTAAATTGAATTTTGTTGCTGAAGATTTTTCTGTAGAAAATTTTTTCCTTAATTATAATTTAAAATTAAAATTTGTATTTAAATATATTTGATATTTGTAGTCTGTAATTAAATTTAAGCTATTATATACCTAAATTTACGATCTCTCCTCATGAAATTTTCTATAAATTTAACAAACTCTCTCCCCCTTGGCAAGTAAATTTCTATTATGAAATTAAAAATTGCAAAATTTGAAAATTCGCGGATTAGGTATTTGCAAATAATTCTTTTTATTATTGAATAAAAATATTTTAAAATTAACTTTAAATTTTATGTTTGTTTATATATTTTAGTTGAATTTGTTGATCCAAAAAACTTGGCTCATAAACTTTTTAGGATTTTCATACTAAAAAATTATGAATACGTTCGTTGTGAATGCCTTCCTTAAAATTGTGTTCTCAAAAATACCTATTTGTTTATGTGATCAACCCAAGGTTATTGCTCGTCCCCGAATATCTTGGAATTTGTGAATCTCTCGCTTAATGAAATGAGATTGTTTGGGTTGCGGAAAGTAAACCTAATTATGGAGAAATTTCTGTTGACGAAATTGAAGAATAATTGAAAATATCAAAATTTGATTTTGAGGTGCCAAAACTTGTTTGATTTCCCAAACTTTTCTGAGTTGAATTTTTCTTTTATGTCCGCAGACGCTAAACTCAACGCAAGCAAAAATAAACGCAAAAATTCATTGCGCTCAGTCATGATCAGCTCGCGTTTGGCCATTTATGGGCTCATTAAAGCGTGTTTGGGCATTAAGGGCTTATAAAGAGGGAGCTTTATTATACGTGTAAAAGGGGCAGTGGATAGAGAAAAAAATTTAAATTTTAAAGTCGATAATGCTAATAAGAAATTCATTTTTAACGATTTAAATTTATTTATTAAGTTTATTTTCTAATTAAAAAAAAATAATTTTAGAGAAAATGTATTTAAAATTAATTTTAAACATTTTCCTCTTGCTAATTTTGATAAACATTTCCATTGCGAATAAATGTAAATGCCCTGAAAATGGAAAGAAAAAACTGCGACATTCCCGAGTTAAGAGAGGAGTTTTTTGTGATTGTTTTGGGGGTGGAAAAAGAAAAAATAATTCTGGAAAAAGTTCTGAAGACGAAATAGAAGAAGGTTCTGCTCCTTATCATGTAACAGGTCAAGTTGAAGGTTCTTTAATTGGAGCCGGTCATACTTTTGATCAGGAAGGGACGGGATATGGAGGAGCAACCCATGGGGAAGGTCATGGAATTCATCGTTATGAAGGCCATACTAGTCAACATGGTCATGTAGGGACAAGCTATGGAAAAGGAACTTTTAAAGGTGAAAGTTCAACGGGAGGAGGTTATGTTAATGGGAAAAGGAACGTTTTGTACATTTGCGACAACACGTTTTTCTCGCATATACAAGCTAATGTATGTTTAATATTTTTAATTTATTTAATATTTTTGTAAAAATAAAATAAATTGTCAAAATAAAAATAGATAATTTAGAAATTAAAATTAATAACTTGTTTAATTAAAAAAATTTTTCTAGGAAGTATTGGCCAACATTTTGTCAGAAAAATATAACGTTGTAAGTGGTTTTAAAAATTATATTTAACATGGTTATAATTTTTTGCAGAAAACTTTTTAATTTTAAAATTTCAAGTTTTTGAATTTTAATAGTTTTTAGGATCCGGACCAGGAATGAGCGCAAGATACAATCTCAAAGAACGCAAGGCCAAAATTTAACGCAAATAACGCAATGCGCTCACCCCTGATCCGGACTCGAAATGTTTATTAAACTATTGGGGATTCTCAGATAACAGAAAGGTCTTGGAAACAATTTGCGTTGAGTATTAGTCCTACTCATTTCTTTCCATAAAGTCAATTCAGGGCGGTGCATATCTAGCCCCAGTCCAAGGCGTGGTTTATAGTCGTTTATGATTAGCAAAATCGAGGTCGATGTTGAAAAATCAGCGAGGACTTCGGCATCGGAGGCTCGAACTAGACCTTTAGTTTCCTTTAAGCTATTTAATCAATCCTGATTAAGCAGCATTGAAAAAGCCAAAACTCCTCCCCGGCTTTTGGTTTACATATTTAATTTTATTTATTTAAATGAAAACTAGTAATTTAACTAATATTTTTGTAATATATTTTGTTAACTAAAAATGCTTATTGTTAGATAAAGTTTAAAATATCATGCTTGAGGATTGATAAAAAGTTTATTTCATAATTTTTGATTAATTTAACTTGTAGTGGAACAGTTTTTTGATTTTTCCAACTTTAGGACATGCTCGTCTACAGTGATAAAGAGAAGGAGAAAATGCCGAATGGAAATTTTAATATGATTAGAATACCTGTAGATGAAAGACATTATGATGAAAGTCAGCCGAAAGGGAAAAAAATGTTCAAATATAGAATTAATCTAGAATATAGATATTTTGGAATTTATGAAGGTATTTTAGGTTAAAATTTAATTAAGAGACTAAAGATAGTGTTTGATTTTTGAATTACCGTATAACTCGTATTAATTGCCCTCCTTCAAATAATTATCCCGCTTCCATTAATTATCCCATCCAGCGATGGATTGAAACAATAATTACCCCCAAACAAATGCCCTGAAACGCGTTCAACTTTCAAACCTCGCACATTGTGGTTTAACAGTCTCTCTCGATTAATTACTCCATCCAGCGGAAGGTCAAAACAATAATTACCCAGGGTAGTTATTGAAAGATATACGGTAATCACACATATTCACAATTTTAGTTTAGAATCAGAAATGAGCTTTAAAAAATTCTAAAATTCCATCGATCTTGATTTCTGTTTGAAAAGAAAATATGTGTTAAAGTTCTCATTAATGAAGGGCGTAAAATTATTATTGGTAGTTTTTTGGATGCAGAGATTCTTTCAATTCAAATTTTAATTGTATTAATCCTACACTTTTTATTAGAGATTTTCATCCAAATCCTAGAAAGTTGCTAATTAAAGTTTTAATCATTCCCGAGAGTTGTAACGAGAATTAATATATCAGTGCACAAATTACTTTAATTTTATTTATTTTCATAGAAATAAACAAAAACGTCCAAATTAACATCTCAAATGATCCCAAGAAAACAGATTATCAACCAATTTTTAATTGGCTTAAAAACCAGAATTATCTTTTTGGAATTGCCGAATTTGAAATAATGGCTGGGTCTTTTGCTGTTTTTGAAGCTTTGGGAATCGAAACAACTTTTGATGTAATGAATACTTCGTTTTATACAAGATTTGTTCAATTTTACTTTAATGGATATAATGAAGAGGAAGAAGAAAATTTTCACAAATATGTTCCCGGTCAGTTATTCTATAAAGTAAAATAATTATTTCTTTGACGACTCTCACTAGAAGGTTACCCGACACTTGCGGAACGAAATTTGCGGATCGACAATTGCGGATTGAATTTTGCGGAACGACATAAGCGGACCCGACATTTGCTGACCGACAGAAGCTGATCGACTTTTGCGGACCGACAGATGCGGAATAACATTAGCGGATCCGACATTTGCGGACCTAGTAATTTTTCAAGAAAATAAAAATCCTTTCTCTTGTAAAAGTTTCGTCCTGACTATTGAGACGTCTTGGGCTTATGTCTTAAAAATTTTTCGAATTTGAACAAGATAAAGGTTCTATCCCCAAAATTGTAGGCTGATTCAACTTTTTTACCGGCCAGACCCGGTACCCTGACATTTTCGACACTCAACCCGATCCAAAAGAATATTTGTGAGTCGAAAAAATTTGAAAATCCTTTTATTTTTTTGAATCATTAACTGGTCCGCAAATGTCGAGTCCGCAAATGTTAATCCGCATCTGTCGGTCCGCACATATCGGTCCGCATATGTTAATCCGCAAATGTCGGGTCCGCATTTGTCGATCCGCATATGTCGGTCCGCAACTGTCGATCCGCAAATGTCGTTCCGCAAGTGTCGGTACACCCACTAGAACACTCTTTAAGGTCCACGAAAAGATTTTTTAAAACAAAAAAAATAAAAATATTTTTATTTTCTTTAAAAATTTGAAATTATATTAAAGAAAACGGATCTGCCAAACCCGGAGATTGGGATACTGTAAATGGAATTCTCGAAAATGAAGAAAGAAGCTATGAAAATGTAGCAAAACATAAAGAAGCAAATAAAAAGTTGCTAGAAGATTTTGAAAAGGGTGATGGATTTTATCAAAACAAACCATCAACACTCGAAGATTTATACAAAAACATTAATTTTCATTTTATAAATCAACACCCAAAAGGAAAATTCGAGCATTTTCCAGATTTTTATAATGTTATGTATATTGGGGGAATTATTGTTGAAGAACAGGGAATTTTGACAAAAAATAAAAGAAAGAATAAGAAAGTAAATTATTTACACGATATTACTCCCTTAAAAAGTTACTTTAATTAAAAAGCCGTTAAGTATATAAAAATATCTATGTATAACAGAAGCTTAGAACTCCAAAGAAATTTTACAGTACCCTTTAGGTTTATAATTAGGCAGCAAAAATGGCCCGCCTCGGAACCAACTTTGAGTCAGTATCGTTTCTTTCCGATTTATTATATCGGTATCGGTTTCGAGAATATCGGTATCGGTTTCGAGAACGAGAATGAAAAAACCGAGACCAATATTGAAAAAAAGCCGAGAATCTCGGTACCGGTCTCGTCTTTTCCCATTCTACTTTTAATTCGTTTATCTTTTGTATAGGAGCCCGAATGTTTTGTTTATGTTGCATTCGGGACAGTCTATGAAGATGGTGGACTGAAAGATAATCTGGAAATAATGTTAGAAGAATTTAAAAAATACGGCAATTGTTTATTTAAAGTTAGAATTGGAAAAAATGAGATAACAGAAACATATAAAGCAGATAATATAGAATTTTTGAAAGTATTTGCAGAACAGCAAAATATATTAGGTAATTTGGGGGATTAAAAGTAAGGTTGCTGGCCAGGTTCGGTTTGATAGATCGAATCGGGCACCGAATTTTGGCCCGAAAAAATGATCCAAACCTCGGCCCTTTGAAAACGGTAACCCTAATTAAGTGTGATATTAAGAGAGTGATATTAAAAGTGATATCTATCACAATATTTAAATTACTAAATTAAATCCATTTTTAGCCCAAACAAATACAAAACTATTCATTTCCCATTGTGGACAGAACAGTTTTAATGAGGTAATTTTTAAATTTAAAAAGGAAGAAAATATTAATTTTAAAGGCAATGTATGCAGGTGTTCCCCTAATTTGTATTCCAAAATTTGCTGATCAGTTTTACCTTTCTTCGCTGGCTGAACATTTGGGCATTGGGATTTATGTTTTAAATGATGACCATTTTGGAGTTAGATTCTCAGAAGCTCTTAGTAAATTTATGAAAGAAATAACGGACGATGGGATATCTGAAACAGCGTAAGTAGAAATAAATAAAAACTTGTTAATAGGGGACAATCTCGAATATTAACAAATAATCTCATACATATGAAAGTGTTAGGCAAGCTGAGTTGAGTATTCCTAAATTGAGGAGAGGTGCTCTTCCAGAAACTAATTCAATTTTACTTTAAAATATATAAAAAAGCATTTGAAATGAGAAACGATATCCTTAGTTTATTCAATTTAAAATTTAGAGGGCCATTTAGAAATAAGTTACTTAATATGACGATTATTGATAATTTTAGAAACACACCGAACCATACCAAAATCGACAAACCAAATCTCACTTTTGTATACTACTGGATAGCTGACCCGATTTTCGAAAATCGAAATCAAATTTTGGTACTTTATGGACCTGTCATCCCCTCATATTTTGAGTCTCAGAGTTTTCCTTATGCGTAGAAAGTGGACAGTAGAAGATAGTCTCATTCTTTGTTTAGTTTAGCTTTTGCCCTACATAAGTATCTGGTATTGTATCCTTTGATTTGTAAAACGCCAAATTTTAATTATTTCAGTATTAAGCAAAATTTAAATTCTTTTATTTTAGTTATCTTGAAAAAGCAACCAAAATAAGAAATGAAATTTTATCTGAAGGGCCATTTAGTAAGGTTTTTCGTAAAAAAATTATTGGAATTGCTGAAAGTAATGTTGGAGGAAAAATCCAAAATTGAGGAGAAGTTGTTGTCGATGTTTTGAAAGATAAAAGATGGGAGATTTAAAAAACTGATGATATTTTGTGGAACATAAAGCAAAAAAATGTAAAAAATTGCTTTTTAAAAAACTAAAAAGAACACAACTACAAATACTATGTATTATAAAACACAATTTAAAATACGAAAAAAAAATTGAAAAAATATACAAAAAAAACAAAAAAATTATTCGAAAATTTATATTTTGATAGAAAATTTTTTAAATTTAGTTTCATAAATTAAAAAAATTAAAATTAGTAGAGACATCCAAGACCGAAAATTTTACAAAATTCAGAACCTAAACTGCATCCATGTTTGACCACCGCAAATATGATCATTCATTTTTTTATACCCGCCTAAGGTATACTTTCATAAATGCCGAACTCATATGACAAAGACTCTACTTTAAGACCAATACCGAAAAAATATTTTTCGTACTTCAAATTAAACGCGGGCTGGGGGGGGGGGGAGAGAAAATTAGTACCGAGAAACTCAAGTTCCAAGACAAAGTCTTGTAAGTCTCTACAAATTGGTATTAATTTTTTTATTTTTAATTTAAATTTATTCATATTATTTATTTAAAAATTCATTTAAAATTCCTATGGAATTATTTTCATTTAACCATTATTATTTATTTATTTAAATTTTTTTGGAAATTTATTTAAATTTTGGGGTATTATTAAACAACACAGACAAGATTTATATATTTAAATATTTTCTCTTATTTAAATGTAATTTTCATTATTTTTTGTTTGATAAACATTATTTTTGGGATTTTTTAGAAATTATTTTAGAAAATGCGTAGAAAATCCCTTAAATGCAGAAATAATTGCCTTTGGTAATTATTATATCAACCTCTGTGTGGAGGGCGTAATTAATATGGAGGTGGTAATTATTTAAGAGTAGGCATAAATTAAATAGTATTCTTAATTTATCAAGGCTTCAAACTTGATAAAACCTTCATTTTGTAAATCCAACCATTCTCCCTTACTTTATTCTAAATGAAATTTATCTTAAATAGTCTTAATTCCTTGAAGGGTTTTTAGGTATACATACAAAAAAAACTCTAGAATTTTTTAAAGTAATCGTCTATCAAAGTATCTATTTGGGTTTATGCCATACTCTTTTTAAATTTATTTTTCTCAAATTGAATTATGTTTTTGTAGAGTTTCCCGTAGTATAACTATAGAAACAAGGTAGTCATTTCTTCAATTCTTTTAACTTAAAAATTTATTTAAATTTAATGGTTTAAAAAACAATCAATAGAGTCCAGACGGCCCCTTTTTGAGGGGTTCCAGACGGTCCCTTTGGAGGTTTTTGACCATTTCGAGCCCTATATCTCGGTCCACAGGCATCTCCGTGAAAAAAGAGTGGTACCGTTCGACTCAGCACCTTTTTCTACCCTATATGACATTTTGAACATTAATTTAGGGGGTTACGTCATGAAGGAAAAGTACCGAATTATGTTTTTGTAGAGTTTCCCGTAGTATAACTATAGAAGTAAGTTAGTCATTTCTTCAATTCTTTTAACTTAAAAATTTATTTAAATTTAATGGTTTTAAAAAACAATCAATAGAGTTTGTATTTTGTACTTTTAATTAAAGCTGACTTTCTCCATCCATGTAAGAGGGATAAAGAAAGACCTCTAAAATCGAAATTTCGAAACAGCTCTGTTTGGCAATTAAATTCAGAGTTGTGAAATAATAAAGTCGATAAAGTCGCTTTACATAAAAATATTTAATATTTGGGAGTATACAATCTATCTTTGGGCTATAACTTACTGAAATTTCGAGGGCTAGGGTAAGGAACGGTCCCAGACCCAGTAGACGTAGATCCTGAACATGAAAAAATGTTTTGGACCCATACCCCTACTTTCAAACACCAAGAAAAATCCAATTTTTTGTTGATGGGACGCATATACTTTCATGGGACGCATAAAAGTTCCTAAGATAAAGCCAAAACTTTTTTCCTTTGGGCCATGCACTAATCCAGAGCTAAAACCCATGTTTTATAAAAAATTTTATACTAATTTTCAATTAATTAAACATTAGAGATAATCTAAAATTCTAACTTTTGAGTTTAGTAGAGCTGTTTTAATAAGTGGAGAGGAAGAAAATTAAGGAAGTGTTGCGATAATGTTTTAATCTGTCCAATGATTGAAAGAGACTGAAACAGGAGGATTTTAAAAGCCCAACAATTAATTACCTATATCAAATAATCCGTTTAGTGTTTAAAATAATGAAAAAATATTTTACTATTTGCATTATGTCGGCATTTAATTAAAGAAAATTTCAAAATTGAATAACATTTAAGGGCATTTAAGACATGTGAGCATTGTTTTTAAATTTCCGGTTTGCTTGTACTTGTACTTTGTACCACCCCCAATTTTGGCCTCGTACTTCGTACCAGACTATCTTTTTGCTCGTACTTGTATTTCGTACCTCCATAAGTACGAGTACAAATTTTGGTACAAGCTTATATTATATTTAAAAAGGGGAGGGATAAAAAATTTTTTTATTTGAATGCCGCAATGCCTTTAGAAAAATTTATTTTAAACAATTTAAATTTATTTATTAAATTAATTTTTCTATTTATAAAATTATTTTAGGGAAAATGTATTTAAAATTAATTTTAAACATTTTCCTCTTGCTAATTTTGATAAACATTTCCATTGGATATAAATGTAAATGCCCTGTAAATGGAAAGAAAAAATCGCGCCATTCTCGAGTTAAGAGAGGAGGTTTTTGTGATTGTTTGGGGGTTGGGAAAGGACAAACTAATTCTGGAGAAAGTTCTGAAGACGAAATTGAAGAAGGTTCTGCTTCTCATCATGTAACAGCTCAAGTTGAAGATTCGTCAATTGGAACCGGTCATACTTTTGGGCAGGAAGGGGCAGGATATGGAAGAGCAACCCATGTTGGAGGTCATGGAACTCATAGTTATGGTGGTAATACTAGTCATAATGGCCATGTAGGGACAAGTAATGGAGGAGGAACTTCGACAAGTGAAAGTTCAACGGGAGGAGGTCATGAAAATTATAAGGGCTCTGGAATTGAAGAGGAGCGTTTTAATGGAAAAAGGAAAGTTTTGTATATTTGCGACAACACGTTTTACTCGCATATACAATTTAATGTATGTTTAATATTTTTAATTTATTTTAATATTTTTGTAAAAATAAAACTATTTTTTAATTAAAATTATTATTTATTAATACTTTAAATTATTTAATTAAAAAATTTTCTAGGAAGTTTTGGCAAATATTTTGTCACAAAACTATAATGTTGTAAGTGATTTTGTAATTATTATATTAGCATCGTTATAATTATTTCAAGTTTCCCGGATATTCAAACCCATCAACTCCAATGGGTATTAAGGCTTTTACTTTCCAATTTCAGGATATGCTAGTTTACACTGATAAGGAAAAGAAGAAAATGCCAGAAGGAAATTTTAAAATGATTAAAATACCTGTAGATGAAAGCCATTATGATGAAAGTCAGCCGGAAGGAGAGCGATTGTTTAATCATAGAATTAATTATGAATATATATATTTTGGAATTTATGGAGGTATTTTATGCTAAAATATAAAAACCTACATTGTTACTCAAATAACTACTTTCCCTCAAATAATTACCCCCTCACCCTATTACTTATTCCCTCCAACAAAAGATTAAAAAACTGCACGGTAAGGTTGTCGGATCCGGTATCCAATATTTCGATCCGAATATTCGAAATTCTTGGTTCTAATCTCAAAAGCCAATTTTTTGCCTATGGCACTAAAAAGTTTAGAAAGATGTACATACATATTTACAATTTTAGGAAGTGTTGGTGTTAATATTTGTTTGAATCAATCTCTAAATTTTACAGCATTATTCCTCCTTTTATTAAAAATCCCCTTGATAGCTCGGTAAAATCTTCGGATCTTTATATCCGAAATTATAGGGTCGGATATCGGATACGGGCATCCGAAGATTTCCATCTATCCGACAACCTTACAGCACAGCTTTAGGAATTAAATAGCTAGTATATGCTTTACAATCTTAAAAACAAAATTTTATTTTAAATAGAAATAATCAAAAACATTGAAATTAACATTCCCAACGTTGGAAAAGGACATATTTTTGATTGGCTTAAACAGCAAAATTATTTTTTTGGAATTGCCGAATTTGAAGTAATGCCTGCATCTTTTGCTGTTTTTGAAGCTTTGGGAATTGAAACAACTTTTGATGTAATGAATACTTCGTTATATACAAGATTTGTTCAATTTTACTTTAATGGTCATAATGAAGAGGACGCA